TGGCGTAAATGCGAACATGATTGTTTAGTTCTCGCTTAAACAGAATTGCTTGCAATTCACTTGAACAACTCCTGTAAAAGCGTCCCATATCTCAATGTCCAATAAGAAGACAATTGACCTAGCTCAGTGCAAGCAATCAACTCCCAAGTAGGTAATAACTCAGTAAATTGCTGCCTGCTGTTAACGACTAGCATGATATTGGCAATGTGACTCCTCCACGTATGCTGCGGCGAGAGTGGCGCAGACAGTTTACAGCATCGTCGATGAGTAACGGAGGCTGCTCACGTTCGCGACGGTCGAACAAGATCCATAATGATGTGTTCGTTTTCAACAATGTTCCGTGGGTTCATGCATCCTTTGTGCATCAATGCTGCCGCGTCATGGAACAACAAAATAATTCGCGAATGGATCAGTTTCGGTGAGGACACGATGTGAATTTGAATGAAAAATACACGCGTACATTTGATGCACTGGTTTTGTCTGCCTTTGGGCACTGTCTCTTGGCAATCATTTATCAATAAACCAATAAGCTGTGCGGCATTCCCTGCATCTACCATTTGGCCGCATTTTAAACCACGGAAGTTTACTGGAGCGGTAAAGTTATGGTGGAAGTTAGCTGCAGTTGTGACAGGCACGTGCATAATGCATTTGTCACGGATGTGGATCACCAACCCTTTGGTTAATTGAAATGCAGCTGTACTGTCGCTCGTGTAGCCAAGTCGGTGGGTGATTTCGCTGTAATGCACTCCAATTCCGCAACACTTTGCGGAATATTTGACACCTCGTGCCGCCCTAAGGCAAATTTTATGGCTTTGGGCCTGACAATAGGCAATGCCATGAACTTTAATTATCCTCGCCTGGCTTGATAAAGGAGATGGATTCACAATTCTCGGCTGTAGCCGAAACGCCGATCATTACGCCCCGACTCTATGGTCGCTCTCGTCCCCATGGGGTCATTTGGTGATACGGCCGGGACCCAAGGCCGAGGATTCACTTCAGGGACCCGCAACCACGTGACTGCGGCAGTTACCATGGATAAGCTTGGCTTAGTTGGACATTCCGCTACCCTAGTGATATGGGCATCCCCGCCACATTTCTTTTACTGTGAATTTGTTACGAACCTTCCGACTTTTGGAAGTCGAGCTATCTTTATGAATGAATGCCAGAACTGGCATTCATTAAGATATTGATATCGTGACTCTGTGATATGGTAAGTTTTTTGGGATGACCTGAAATCCAGATTAGGTCCCATGAAGTGCGTGATCTATGCTGTCACCCACCACGCGACCCGTTCATTTTCAAGTTAATTTCGGACCTTTTGAATGAATGTATATATGGGATCAGACCCCATGCTAAGTAGAACATGTTGCGTTCATCCTGACTACCATCCGATGGTGAAGTTCAGTTAAAGGGCAGAATTATGTGGCGAAAGTTTGACGTACCGCAACGCTCGGCACTGCCCGTCGCGTCCTCTGACGTCACCTGACCTTTGGCGCGACCGCTGCCACCGGCCACAAGCCATCTCAATCAGGTGTAAATAGCGAGCGTTCAGCGCGGCCCAGACCCACTACGCCAAGGATGCGCAAATCTGAATGTCAACGATTCTTTTAGTTGAGCTCTCGGGATAAACACGGGCAACTATGTGCCGGTTCTCCGGACTGTGGTATTCGTCCCGTGTGAGAGCCCCTCCACCTCGGCGAAGTCATTAACAACTCGGAGGTCGTTGGCTCACCAGCGACGGCGAGAAATGCCGGGTTTGCACCGACTCGCTTAGGTCCGTGTGGAAGAGGGGGTGTTCATCTCGAAGAGCTTGAGGGGGAGGTCATCGGGGTGACGAGGCCGCCGTGCTTACCGTCTTAATATGCTCTCGGGTTGGGGGTCAAACTGACTCCCCGCAAAGGGTTTTCCGGAGTGGTTTCCGAACGCCAAATTCTGCATAGCTGTAGGCAATTAAATAGCAGATCGTGTGGTACAAAAAACTGAGTTTACCTTGCAAGGTCGCCGACCGACGGCAGGTTAAAGTCAAGCCGTGGATTCAGGGAAGTCAATTTCAGGGAATCGGTCAATTTGATGGAACAACGCAGTGTTAGACGAAGCCATACATCTCTGAGATGCTTTTTTAGACAACACAACAATCGAATGTCCAAATTCCATGGACCTAAGGTCAGATAGAAAGGTCAGAACAAGGTCAAATCCAAGCTGTTTCATTCATCTAGGGCTTGCTGTTTTGAGTTGCCTCTGATGCTCATTTCGAATTTATTGACAACATAAACCTTATCAGAAACCTTCCATGTACATATCACGTGCGCGAATAGGTCCCTGACCTAAAGTGACCCAGGCCGACATTTCGTTTCCATGAACATACTCTCTAGCTTAATCTTTCTGTCTAGCTTAATCAGTGGACACCCTCGTTCTCCCGGACTCTTGAACTCCGGGACGCCCCTTTGCATCGGCTCGGTGCGCATCGACTGGACTTTAGTCAAGGGCGTCTCTCCGCCAGGACTTACTCCTCGCTCTGATAGGGGGAGGAGTTCGATGCGGCCCCCTAAGACTTCTTGAGAATACCTGCTCGGAGTGTTTTGCAATCGCACGCAAAGTCTCAGTAGCCTATCGGGCATCCATTGCGCGTGGTCTGACACCAAAAACGTGCTCCAAGCTTTTGTGGTTTGGAACAGCAGCGGTTTTTGAGAAACACTGTACGGCGATCTGCGGCCTGAAGTGTTGGGCGCGTGGCAGCCAACGGTGCCGCCGAAAGCGTGCGGCGGGCTGACATTACTACATTAACATAGCTAAGTATCATAAATGTTTATTCAAAACGCACCGAAATGTACACCATTTTACTCAAAATTGAACACAAATCAAGCCCATATAGGTCTTATGGCGTCAGATGGTGTGGTCTTCAATGCTTGATGTAAAGTGGATAAAGTACGATTTTCTGCAAAAAAATTGACTTTTGACCTGACATAACGTAATCAATCATTGACCTAACAGCACACAAACTAATACCAATCACGAGATCTTATTAGGACCAATCCACTGGTGCTTTCCAAAAAGCTCTATCTTCATTACTTTGGAAACGCCCGGAAACGCCAGAGCATTGACCCCTCCTATGAGTCCACACATGAAAAACCGCTGAATCAGGGCGAGGATTAGAATGAACCCTTCACTTGGATCTAATACCAGCACCACTGCACTTTTGTTTTGAGGCAACTTTCTTTGGGGGTCCTGCAACGGAAGCGCCCTATTTAAACAAAAGAGGTGGCACAGTTTTCAGATCATGCTGTAGAGGCCCAGGCGGTGGAGGGAGGAGCAAAGGGGATGAGCCTGGGATCATCAACTTTCTGGATGTTTTAGCATTGGCCCTTTGAGCATTGAGTAGGAAACAACGTAACTTTTTTCGGACAGCTCAGAGCCCGGTTAAGTGTCTGAGCGGCCTAAGCAATCAACAAACATGAAGGATAAAAAAATAGCGTGAAAGATATTGACAGAACAAGAGTGAACGGAGGAAATATCAACTACAATAAGAAAGGCAACAGTATATTAATTAAAGTGAGTAAAGACCGACCAAAATAAGAAGATACAGCCTTCATATGGCGAAGTGCACGAACAGCGCACGCGCGCCCTGTTTATGCCGGGCCCACGCAGCGCGCGACGTGACCGGTCCGCGGACAATCCTTCAGCCTGCTCACAACTTCTGTCAAACAAAGATTGGCTTAAGGACCTACTTTCGTCATGACAGCCGTCCTGTCATATCGTGGACGGTGGTGTTAGATCTGATGGGTCCCGTAGAGTCAGCCTGGAGCGCAGCAGGTAGTGCGTGATGGCCGGCGAGCCTCGGCGCAGCGTCGGCATCAAGCTGATGACGATCAACAGCAGATATGATGACCCAATCTGGGCGTCACCGACGGCGTGGCGCTGGTAGCGGCAGCGCCCCGGTGTCCGTGTGTCTGCTGGCGCGCAGCTGGTCCAGCGGTTCGTCCACCTGGCCATGTCACAGGGTCGGAGGCGCCGGGTCAGTGCCAGGCCGCGGATACTGGCCGGACGGCGGCGGCGGCGGCACCGTGGCGTCGCGGCGCCCGTGTGATCGACGGCGTGCAGCTGGGTGAGCAGCTAGTCTGCCAGGTCATGCTGGGGCAGCGACGCTGGGCCGGCAGTCGCAACCGCTTAGTCGGCTTGATCTTGCCTGGTCGATACGGGCAGGGACGAACGGCGAGCGGGATATGGTCGAATGAGGAGCCTGTTATGATTGGCAGCATCAATTGGCTTTTGATTGGCTCCATCCCATGGATGCGGATAAATATAGCTCCTGAGGATATGTGGTCTAGGTGTGGCCAGGACGTGAGTAAGGGAAAGTTTCTTTGACCGGGGATAACTTCCGATGGCCGGCTCCGACTGACAGCGTCGGTGATGATTGCTGGCGATTGCTGCGCAGCACGCGACGCGCATGTCTCCCGGGCGGCAGAGGCCGCACCGTGCGGCCATGTTCAGCTGCCCGGTTGGTGAGCACTGACCTGAAAACCGGCGCTGCTCCGTCCCAAAGATGACAACCTGTCCGTCTCGGGTCGGACGCGACATTCCGCGGCTGCTCGGCCGATTAGCCCAGTCGGCGTTGGTCCGATTGTTTCAGACATCCAGCGGTCTCCGGGAAAAATCGTTCTGACAAGAATAGCCAGAACTGATTTTCGGTGCCTCTGTACGGATCCACGTTGTTGTGTTATCGGCTACGTCACTCCTTCTGTTGCTCTGATTGCCACTTAATTTGATGTCACTGTCGTAGCATTCCTATGATTGGACGTGATTTGGCGATATCTGGCGTTATCTGGCGATATTTTTGGCACGGATATAGTCCAAGCAAAGTTATTATCGTTTTTGGCAGTACTTTTGGCATCAACGTTGCTGACGTCATGATGTCATCAGCTGACTGTGTTTGTGGTCGCTCCTTGCATTCCCGTGAGGGCTGGCTGCGTGTTGCGGCACACGCCTCACCCCAAGTGCTGTTTTTGGGGTGGTGTCGCGCTGTGGGTGGGCGGGGCAGGCGTCTCTTATTTGTGAAACGATATCTGGTGCGGGCAGGTAAGAAAGACACTTAGTGTTCGCCTGGGAAGGCACATTTTTACGTACATATTTTGTTCATTTGGGCAGGGTATATGTCGAAAGTGAAAGCGAGAAGGTAGCAACCGATGAGGACTGTTTGACGATACCCAAGCACTGTGTGTTCTGTATCACAACGTGCTACAAAACCACGACCTTCATAGCATCGACAGAGGTATACTAAGTGTTGGGTTACAGTGCAAATAACCCCATATCAGTAATGCTCACAGTCAAACATCTTTCTTTGGCCCACCAAAACAAGTGAATGGATGGCACAGTCAGTGAGATGGTGAATTGAAAAATAAAAGAATGCATCTGGAGCAAGAAATCACAGGATGCCATGTCATTGTGTACATTGATACATTGTATACATTGGATACCTAATGCTAAACTGTTAAATTGTTTATTGATTGCTGTTTTATGCACAAATGGTAATGATCAGTATTGCTTTTTAGGCTCATCTTCACATGATTCAAGATGATGTCATCAGCATATTTGTATGCATAGTATGATAGAGATTTATGATATGTAATGTACCCATTGATGCACATGTTTTTTTTTTTGCTGAGCTTGAACAATGCACTTGTGTCCTATTTTTGTAGTAGATCACCGAGAAGCAATGAGTGTCAGGAGCAGTCAAGCTAATGACAAGGGCACTGGCATCCTATCTGGAGGCAACAGGAACAGTTCTACCAAGCCAAGTTCAGGTCAGTCTTATACCAGCATTGGGGGCCAAATGCTGAACATCATACAGCATGCTACATAGTAGCATCCATTGAGAAACATGCCACATGATCCCATTCCAGCTGCAGACGTGCTATGCTGAGCTGGGACTGGCTGACTTCCTGCCAGCCAAGTGTATGATGTGTGGGGGGAAATGTCAGGAATCTATTTTCTCCCAGAAGGGGCTGCCTGGACTTTGACTTTGCACTGATGTGTTAGTAAATGCATGGTCATGCAGAAAAATGGAAAAAGATAAATGCACATGGCTCAACATGAAGTGGTGTGTAAGGGTGTGATTGGCAGCCAGAAAATAACTGATGCGAACATTCCAAACTATGTTGATTAAAGTCTTCCTAGGGGTTCATTTCCAAACATTTTGAATGTGTGGTTTGGGTTTTAGGACCCTTCTCAGGCATGGCTTGTTGCTTGCACCTGGAAGCTACAATCAAAGGTAAACAGTCCAGTTCATCAGATTAATTAACCACTAATCTTGGTTTGATTTGTACCTTGCATGTTAGGTGTACATTTTGTCTTTGTCTTATTCAACTTGTGTACCCACAGGGCTAGGAATGTTAAATGTGCCATACACTGCTCCCATATAACCATCCCAGACCAGTTGCTTTGGCCAGTTGCCACCCATCCTGCTCATGCCTGCCAGCCTACACATTGTGTCTGCTCTTGGACTTGTATCCAGAACTGCTGGTATAGGTTGAGCACCTTTCCCATTGAACACAGTGGCAGTGAACTAAACATGTGAGTCAAAATGCATGCCACATGGTGTGTCAACCTGCTCCAAACATCTGGTATCACTCAGAGGCCTGGCAATCCTTGCATGCACTGTGTGACAGCAGTGATCTGCACTGCCATGTGTGTCAGGTACAGGTCACATCTGATAGTTCACTGGTCTGGTAAATGCTTCAGAAGGAATCGTTTGCCCAGGTAGCTCACTGCAGGCCTCCAAATGGATTTCCAAATAGGTTCAGCAAAAGAGCAGACCCTGTAGAGTTCCATGAAACAACCCACACCTTGACATCTTTTCAGTTCCGTTATGTGCACGGAACACAAATCAGAACTTGGCTGTCCTCTGCCCAATATGCAATCGTCTGATAGCATGGCATTACGTATTCCAACGCCGTCGGTTTTCCGTCTGGGAAGACTGCGCAGCAGTGTCATGTTCGTGCGATGTCAGATTACGGTTTCTTAATTAAATGTGCCGCAGCTCCCGACCGACGGAGTAAAATAGCCCACGAACATTCAAACCTCACCACGAGCTGGTTTCGGTACCCCACAAGTGGGCTTGTCATCAAGTATGCATATTAATGATAACGAGAGCTGATGCTTTCTCCCATTCACTCCTTCAGTATTCCAATGTTTAGGTCTGTGTTTTCTCCCCAGTCATCGGAAGCAGCATAATAGCCGCCACCTGGCTTTCCCTTATCTTCCAAAAATGCCTGTCTACCGGAGACGGTCACGATTTGGCGACAACATGGTTCGGTTCCGTATAATCTGACGGACGCGTGAACCGATTGACTCGCAATAAGGAAACTAAAGCTGAATTATTAAGTTATGTGCCGACTCTATTTGTGAATTTTTGTTCTAAGACGCCAGGAATGGAATCGGCCTTGAATTGGCCCTCCCCCAAGTGTGAAGCGGTGTCGAAATGGTTAAAAGTTACGAGGAATGAGGTACGATAAACCGTCACAAAATAGAAACATACATTGAGGTGATTTTATACGAGGTTGGCTCGGCCATGGCAGTGATATGCGTAGAAACGTTCGCACTGTATTATTTGACAAATATGGATGATAATAGGCGCCCCTGTCGGCGTGCTGGTCTAATGGCGCAAATGGGAGCGCATTTATTTGAACGTTTTCACCAAAGTGGTCATTTTGCATCTCAATGGTACGAGGATTTCTGACGGACGAATTGTTGCGTTTGTGGCGGCTGTCATGATGCGCCGTGGTTGGCTGCGGTTAACTCCATCAGCGTCGCCAAAACCACCAACGTCGCTAACATCAGTGGCACGACGCGCCTCTTGCAGCCTTGTGACGGCTCGTGTGATGCAATGCTTGCCCGTGCTGCCAGCGTCTGCCGAGTGTGTCATGCTGTGCGCCGTTCCAGACATGATCTCGGAAGAATCCCTCGTAGGAAAGCCTGTTGTCACGCCCGAAGACGTGCTCCGTCTGGACAAGATAACTCAGAGTAAGACATCGGCAGCCCGCTGGACTCTGCTATGGTTGTCGTCAGGACTGCTACCTGGGGCGGGGCCAACACATTGTATAGGGATCCAAACTGACTCTCGGGAGGCCAGCCAATCGTTCCACTGTTGAATTAGAGGGCTACACATTATATGGAGATCCAAACTAACTCTCGGGAGGCCAGCCGATTATTCCATCGTCGAATAATAGGCCTCTCGCCACCACCAGGGGGACCGTGCCAGGCCTCAGGTGGGGCCATGTCCCTCACCCTCGCCCCAATTGATGGCTCCCCATGGATCCTTTCGCCAGAAGGATTTTCTGTATCCGACCATTCGTGTACATCCCTGCTGGCATTTCAATACTGCCAAATCAGTATGCTTAATAGTGATGCTGTAGAGAAACGTGTGTATCACGCGCTTTTCTGTCCATTCTTTTTTGGATCACGTCCAAATAAGATATGGGGAGGGTTTTTTCTGGTTATCAGCCGACCGACCCACTTCACACAGCAGCGGTTTCGAAATTGTAATCTGTCCACCGCGGCTCCAGTTTTTGTCTGGGGCTCAGCGATAAGATAACCGTTTCACACTAAGTGCCTGCATAGTATTGTATGAAGATGCGCCTGGCCAATGTCATGAGAGTACGATTCGTGACGCGATTCCGGCAGATTAGTAAATAAAGAAGGCCCTTGTTGCTGGGGGTTACACTTGGTTGTGGGAAATCCGCTGATTGGTGTGGTTTTACGTGGTTCTGTGAGGACATTCGCACCTGTAACGATAGTACTGAGTGCGTCCATACAATGAGTGATATGAAAAGGAAACTTCAAAAGTTACCGCGCCACCCGTCGATTCCACGTATCAAACACTTGGCTCCTTATCCTCACAGATTATCTATGTGTTCCGGAGGCCAATATTTACGATATCGATTTCACTCGCTTCAAGATCCGTGATTTGGACAGCGGAGCGGTGTTGTTCGAAATCGCCAAACCTTCAGTAGGTAAGTCATTGTTTCCGCTTCTGTATCAAACGCAAAGCATTGTGATCCTCCCTGCCTTCATCGCCCATCGTTTCATCCCCAGTGCCCGCACCAGCGTCGTGTGTCACCGGGGTGTGCCCTGGATGTCAGCCATGAGGCGGGGTAACCGCCGCCCTGGCGCGAGCCCCGGCCGGGCACCCGCACAAATCCCTAAAGAATGGCCCCTCTGCGCTGAGAGGCTCGTTGGTTTAGGACACGCGATGGCCACATTGTAGCCCCACGAACGGCCTCTCCCTCAATGACATAGTCCTGAAATGGCCAGGACTGACGTAGAAGACTCAAACCCAAACTAAGTGAAGCAGCCGCGCGTACTGAGTGGATTGTCTTGCAGAGACCAACTTAAGCCCAGGTTATCGCCATTTCTGAAAAGGATATCATCGCTCGATAGCATTCGCTGAGTGCACCTGGTAGTATCTTGATAGCATCTGTGGACTGCACTCATCAATATCTCGATAGTATTTGTGGACTGCACCTGTCGCAAATTCGTTATTGATACGAACACTATGACCCCACCCCAAGTATCAGCTGGCCTGCTCGCGCCTTTCAGACTACGAGCCGGATGATGGCTCGGAGCCGGAGGAGATGGACCAGAACGCGGGTCGCTTCGTGCGTTACCACTTCACTCCCAAGTTCCTTCAGCTGAAGGCCATTGGAGCCACGTAGGTCACGTCGAGCCGATCGTGTGGTGACGCTCGACCTTGTGTGTCGCGGACCGCACCAGTGTCGTGCTCTGTCGGGCCGGGCTGTCCGCTGACACACCAGACCTACTGACGTTTCTCGTGACGTCATGTGGTGACGTCATGTGGTGGGACGAGGCGATGGCAGCCGTCGGTTTAGTGCCTGCAGTCTGGTCACTCTCTGGGTCATGGCGTGTGGGAGATGCTCGTGATGCTGTTGGGTCCGTGCAGTGCTAGAGCAGGTCGTGCATTGCTGTGGACACGCCGCCGAGCCGGCATACACCGCTGCTGACGTCTACTTTCCTGATTGCTGTTGGGCCCGGCTTCCTGGGACGTATGAGATGAAGCTCTGCATCTAAGTGCGTTGCTAGGTCTCGCTGGCTTCATGATAAAGACATTCATTGGCACGGAAGCTTCGAAAGCTTTCCAATCAGGACACATTAACTACTTAAAACGCCCTAATACCCAATCATCATCAGTCGTTCGTGATGCATCTTGCCATCCCCTCCGTCATCTTTCTTGTCATTCCACCATGATGTTTCGCGTGGTTTCATTTCAGCCCCCAGGAGCGTCGGTGTCAGGCGTCTGTCCGTGATCGAGTGTCAGTCGTCTGCGACGCCGGGACCGTTGACTCATGAGCTGCGGCCCGTCGGCAGGGTGGAGTTCACTGTCGGCGCCCAGCCCGTCAACAACTTCCGGATGATCGAGCGCCACTTCTTCCGCGGCAAGCTGCTCAAGACGTTCGACTTCGAGTTCGGCTTCTGCATACCCAACTCGCGGAACACGTGCGAGCACATCTACGAGTTCCCCAACATCGGGCCGGACACAGGTGAGTATGCCGTCCACGACGGCACGGAAGACGTGCGAGCACATCTACGAGTTCCCCAACATCGGGCCGGGACACAGGTGCGTATGCCATCGTCAACAGCGCGGAACACGTGCGAGCACGTCTACGAGCTCCCCAACACCGGGTCGGACGCAGGTGTGTACGCCGTACACAACAGCGCGTAAAGCTCGAGGTTTTCGATGACATCGCGCCTTCCAAGCGGTCCGCAGTACTGCCACGCCTTGCGGAGATCGGACTCACCGAACAGCGTGTTTGAGCTCTGTATGTGTAGGTATTAGCCTGTGTGATCCCCTGATGCATTGACAATTTGTTTTGGAGACATATGTGTATTTCGCCGTTTTTTCAGCGGTTAACGCTGTAATGCTTTTGTGTAGCTTTGGCACGGACATTGACCATAGGAAGGGCAGTTTGCTTCAGTGATGCCGCCATTCCAGTAGAAGCATGTGAGCTATAGCTTTACCGCGTCCTGGTCCGTAGCAAAATGGGGTCATGATAAAACACGGTGCTATCATTCTTGGCCAGTTTGACCAGGACTGGCAATAAATTCAAGTTGGGCGAGATTCCCGTCGCTCTTTGTTCGTTCTTTGTGGGTTTTCAAAAGCTGAACCACATTCTGACGCTTCCTTAATCACAGTTTAGCATTTTTCGCCTAAGAATGTAGTTCGAGAACCCCTGGCAGCTCCACTTGTTTGGCTTTCACTGGGCAGAATATACTCAGCGTTTAGCTTCTTACTGAACTGGTGCCGCGGTTAAAAACCAGTGAACGGGTTGCATTGCTCGATACCCAAGGAGAGTGAATGCTGGATGAGAAAAGGGAATAATGGGGCTTGCCATAGCAAACACCGTGCAGGTTTGGTCTACATTGTTCCGGAATCGTATTCATAACCAGTTTTTGCACAGAATGGTGGCTGAGGACTGTTTGCGACGGGAATGGTCAGGGGCAGGCAATTTTCGTGCTTGACCTGTCATCGGGCTATCACTCTAGACTGACGAGTATTGCTTGGGTAATGGGCCATTATTGTTGACCAGATTCATACTCTACACCCACACCTGGCACACCCGCTTATACGCCAACCATGCCATACATCCTTGCTGTCCGTGGGGTACTGAAAACAACGCTACGTGTAGGAACGGCCCTGCGTGCCGTTGAAATCACGTGCTCGGTGGTCTGACGTGGCTGAGGATCCATTGTGGGTTGGAACGTGCACAACCAAGGTGATCATCAGCTTTGGCAAGTTACGCGATCCTTTTGTTGATCTGTTGTTTATGGTCCCTAGAATGCCAAGTTAGGGAATGACAGTTACGGGTTCTTGAGTGATGGTTGAAGGAAACGGCTAGTACCTGAAAGGCCTTCAACTAATGCAGGTGGTTAATAGTGGCTGAGCTAATTTTGGTGGTGTCCTAGGAGTCCGACCAATATCAGCGAGTTGAGACTCGCTCCTCATCCTTGCTTCGGGTTCCCCAGAGTTATTGGCATTGGTCGCGGTGAACGGCTGCTCGTCACTTTGGCCAGTGCTAGACAGGCCTCCATTTGGTATGCATGTATTGCGCTGGAATGAATAATAGCTTCGCTATTCGTTGCCCTACCTTTTTCTGTGCGCATGCCCTGACAGCTGACCCCTGACTGCTTCGCTCCGGCCATGTCCCGCAATATCCACCCCCCATGCCGTGGTGGGGGGACGACCCCTGGCCATCCCGGCGCACGGCGGTGGGACGGCCCCTGGCCGACCCGCGAGTCTGGCGGCGGGCGGGCGCGCCGCCGGCCGCCGGAGACACTGCCGGCCCGGCACGGCGCGTATCGAGCGACCCGGCCCCCGCGTTCATTACCGGGCCCGGCGGCGGCCATACAACATGGCACGGCGCCGCGGGCGGCGTGGCGCGCCGCCACACTGCCATTGGGCGGCGGCTCACCTGGGGCGGCCGGTGACCGAGCGGAGCCGTGGGGCTGAGGGGGTGTCCGTGGGCGGTGTGGCGTGCCGACACACTGCCATTGGGCGGCGGCTCACCTGAGGTGGCCGGTGACCGAGCGGGGCCGTGTGGGAGCTGAGGGGGTGTCCGTGGGCGGTGTGGCGTGCCGACACACTGCCATTGGGCGACAGCTCACCTGGAGCGGCCGGCAACCGAACAGGACCGTGGAGGGCTGACGGGTGTCCGTGGGTGGGCGAGGTGTGATTTTGAGGTCGGCCGGGGAAGCCAAATGAATAGGTCTAGTTGGCCAGGTGAATTGTCCCAGATTCGTGTTTGAGGTATTTCCGCTCAGCGAAACGCCTCTAGCTCCGCAGTACCGCGCGTCCGGCAGATCGGTTTCAAAGCGTCATTCAGTCAACGGAACCTCCAAGTGGTGCAACGTGTTGTCTGATGTTTCATGAGCTGAGTCCGATCTGCTTGCTTCTAATCCAATCTAACTCCCTCCAGGCGGAGGCGTGGATGTCGCTCTCCCTGTTCCTCCCTCCAAGACGCTATATTTTCACGACCACAGAAAAATAGTGTCGCTTCTGAGGGTGTGTAGCGGCATTTTAAGCCAAATTTCAGGCATGTACTGTTCATTAGCAGTGAACGGTGTTCTGAGGCACAGCTTCTGTAAACGATGATAATGTACAAACACACGGGTCACTTGGTATTGGGCATTTCAAGGTCGACCAGGGTCAATCACGGTATTGTAATGTCAAATGTAATTTCGTACATTTTAGGGGTCCTCAGTCACTTCTTTGCACTAAATTGCACTGCAGATTCGCACTGGTTCAGAATTTTTTTTCATTCGCATTTTTTGACCTAATGTTCTTCAGTCTTAGAAATAAGTTGGCCTAGAACGTCACCGTTTGACATGATGGAGTTTCACCGTAAATCGTTTTTCGTAAATCCGTAATTCCGTTTCACCGTAAATCGTAAATCGATTTCCGAGGCACCAGGTTATCGACAGGTTTGTACTGCTCTTCTCTTGCACATTTTGGGGCAAAACGCCCCCCCCCCCCGCCCCCCTGCATCGAAAGGGAAGCGCGTGGAAACAACGTCCGTTCGGCTAGGTTTAACCCCAAAACACAAAGGGAAGGTGTCGCCCTCTGCGCATAGACTAGTAGGTAGTGGGGTCACCTGAGGTTATAACGCATGTACTCACCTGATCGTTGGATGATCTTGACTTTGACTGACGCTGAAACTTACCATTTTCATGTGCATCTATAGCATGAGTTCGCTGTAAAAGGGCTATGAACGTTATTTTGTTCGATTCATAATTACCACTATGCCACCATAACCACCACTAACGATACCGTGCGTACGGTGTCAGGAAGAAGACCGTTTCCATTTTCCGCCGTACATGCTTCGGGAACAAGGTCATATCTAGATGACAGGCCTCAATGATAGGTTGGAACCTTCAGTTTTCATGTAAGATGCTTCTAAATAAGCCATTCTAGATTTCAATGTCCGACCAAATCAAGATTATTCGTCTGAGGGGTTCGCGGTATACCCCCGACAATAGCTGGAGTGTCGTCACCACCTTCTCGGGCGCGGGCTGACTTGACCTGGTAGGGAACTGCGGACACCGCCCAGAGGCTTTTGTGCAAAATATACCCATTTTGTGCAATATATATGTATATATATATATATATATATATATATATATATATATCTATGTAGGACTATTTTATTTACAATTTTACAATATTATTATTTACAATTTGCTCATTCTGGTAATGGGTTCAGAACAGACGCGCGTCCGTGCGGTCTGCTGGCCGATGACTGGTCGGCAGACCGCACGCAACAGAGAGATGGATGACCGGCTACACGCTAACGGGCACCTGAATTCAGTTATTGGTATATATATATATATATATATATATATATATATATATATATGTGTGTGTGTGTGTGTGTATATATTAACTTGATAAATGCCTAGCGGTATTCAGAAATTTCCTAACATACCCAGTAGCTAAGTGTCATATTATATTTTACTGCGAAGATGGAATTCAATGCAAATATGAAGATAATCGCTAAATGTGTACGTAAATAACCGCATGTGATGTCTCGTGAATGCTTTTATTTACAATTTCAATTTCAATTTAAAAAAGTTAACAATTTCAATAGTGCCGCTTTTGGAGTAGATCTGGCGTGCAGTGCAACACCCCACCACGGCAGCAGTGAGCCGGCCTGCAACAGGCGGCGGCACGGCTCTGGTACGGCCGAACCACGCTTCGTTGCCCCGCGTGACGCCGCAGGTACCGCTGGACCAGGCGTGGAACACCCCAACAGGGGCGCCAAACATGCACGGCTATGGGCCCCTCGCTGTCGCGTTTGGACTCTGCCCCAAGTGTAGACGGGACTTGCCGTATTAACGGATACCGGTCGTTCTGTACAGTGCACATACGCCGGCCGGTGCTGCCACTGCACACACGGATGTAGTAGTTTGTTTCAAATTATGCCGTGACTTTTCGGGTGCTGCAGCTGTCGCGTTTGATGTGCTCTTGACTGCACGTGCGCCTTGCACGCCGCCGTGTGACTGGGCCAGCGCTCTGTACATGCGTCGTTACGTGGCTGTGCAGTTAGCGTGTGGTAAGGGCAGGAGGTGCATGACGTCACACCACGCTGTTTCGGGCGGACGCCGGACCGATCGATCTGCGGTCTGTTTCCCGGACAGCGACCAATGCACGGGCGTCTGTCAGCTGGCCAGACATCGACCAGTGCATGGCTGTCGCTCTCAGCTCTCCCTCCCTCTCTCCCTCTCTCCATCTCTTTCCCCTCTCCCCCACTCTGTCTCTGTCTCTGTATGTGCTGTCCGTGCTGAGTGATGCGTTGCGTTCGATAGCAGCTCACAAAATGGCTCCACAAATAAATGATGATCCTCTGTAGAGTAGGCAGACTGTCCATCTTTTTGTTACTTTCGACTGCTGGTTGTCGTCCATGTAAGCCATGATACTCACTTTTGCTTTCACCAGACTGGTGCACACGCACACTCAGCAATAATCTGGGAACCAACGCATGGGAATGCGACGTAGAAATTCTAAAGGGCAGATGATGTCGCGTCGATTTGTTTGATGCTCAGTCTACAGTCTAACGTGCGTGCACTTACTGAGCATTCGTCTCGAATGCGGTGAACAACCCACAGATTTTGAAATCCGTCGACGTGCGTAGAAACTATTACCGCGTCGTTTAACGTTTACTAATTTAATTGATAGGTGGTTTTGCAACTCGACTTCAGAAAGGTCGCTGTCTACTGGTGCTGTGCTTCGTGGGGGACTTCTTAGGCGCAAGTGCTGGTTTCTGCTGCACGCGGGAAAACACAGTGTGGCAGTATTGGCGGCTGTTGACAACTTTCAGCCCGCCATAGTGTCATCAGAGTGTTCCCGGAGAACCTGAGAGCCCTTCAAACCATTCTGCAGTTCGCCAGGCTATGTTTGCTTTCGGTTTCGGCGGGCCATTCATTTACGGTCCCGCTTGTCTCCCTGCTCTGCCCGCAGTGGATGAGATGATCCCATGTGGTCCCTCACGCCCCTTTGCTCTGCCTGCAGTGGATGAGATGATCCCATGTGGTCCCTCACTCCCCCTTGCTCAGCCCACAGTGAATGATATGATCCGATGTGGTCCCTCACGTCCTCCTGCTCTGCCCACAGTGGATGAGATGATTCCATGTGGTCCCTCACGCCCCCTGCTCTGCCCACAGTGGATAATATGATCCCATGTGGTCCCTCATGCCCCTCCGCTCTGTCTGAAAAAGATGAGATGATGCCATGCCGTCCCTCACCCCCCTCCGCTCTGCCCGCAGTGGATGAGATGATCCGGCACCCGTACGAGACGCGCTCCGACAGCTTCTACTTCGTCGACAACAAGCTGATCATGCACAACAAAGCAGACTACGCGTACAACGGCTAGCGAGCCGCCGGTGGACGCCTGCACGGGGAGCTTGGGCTCGTCCGGGGGGACGTGTGCACAGTGGGACGATGGTGCTCAGCTGACAAAAGACGGGATCACGTAGGGTAGTCAAGTCTATATCGATTTCATATATGGGTGCACCGGATGTGCTTACTGTGTGCATCCCGGCGTCGGGGGTCTGTGGGCATCAGTGGGATGGCTTTCTGTCTGTGTGACACTTGTCGAGAATGGAGGAATCGTCTGACACCGGGATGTGGTAGGATGACGATGGATGCCTGGATGGAGGTTGAAGGATGAAGGACGCTCGACACTTGAATAGGGTGTGGATGACATTGGATGCTAGGCTTATAACGGTGACACAAGCGTGGGGAAAGCCGAAAATTAACCTCTTACGTCTGGCAAGATCAAAGAGACCGCCGGGGCAGCTTAAACGGGTCTCCGGCGGGCGAAGGGGGAGAGGACGGACTGTCTAGTCTGCAACTTTTCCAACCTTATCTGACGTGGCCGTGTGCATCTTAGAACTAACTCATCGCATGTTGAACCGACGCAACCAAACGTAGAAAAACTGCATTCAAATTCGGCACAGCATTACTGTTCTAACTATCGTTACCTCGGTAAGTGGGCATGGCTGGCGGCTGGTTCATTACAAAGCATTCACACCAGCTCTGGCCGTGTTGTCAGGCCAGTTCTAAGGCGAATACAATATTGCCAGTGACATGGTAAGAACAGCGGAAACTTTACCTTGATCAGAACGAGGTCGCTACACTGTACTGCAAGGGTTACCTGTGACAGGCCAGCTTTCAATAGATCTCTGTTGGTGCTTCATGCGGGGACTAGAGGTCGTTTAAAAGTGATTTAATTTTGCTATCCTGATTTCTCCTCATATGCGTGCCGATTGTTGCGTTATCTATATGTGCATGCGTAGGGCACATTGTGCTGTGCATTGGCGCGTAGTATGCAGTGATACATTCAGACGTGCACTGCATTTTCGCACCTTATTGTTTCGGAGATACGCATTACATGCAGATCATATTTCGTCAGCAGGTAATCCCGCCAAATTGTCTTCAAAAGCCGGTCGATCTTATGCTTATTCTGTTCCAAGCTACACCGTTTCTCTGGACTCAGTTGTACGTGCGCGGGATTTTGATGCTTTAAGTGCCGTCGAATCTTGAATGTGTTGGTGCCCAGCCTGACGACACCGCGTCGAGTTTGATTGCTGCCGTAGACTAGTGGTTGTGCTAACCTCAAAGTGAATGCGTTGGTTGTAGGACGGTTGTGATGACGTCAAATAAGGCTGGGTAAAGGTGTGGGTGATGAGTGAGGGCGCGGTCCGAAATCTGTCTCACTGAAAACGTGGCAACTTGAGCGTGGGCGACGCAACTGCAGGACGTCTGGAGGCTGAGGAGGGCCGGCGGAGCGAGCGCCCGGTCGTGATGACGTCCGGAGCTTGTGGGTGCCGCCCGGCCGATGGCAGCTGGCTGACGCTGGGTGCCGTGATGTCCCGGAGTGCTCGGGTGACGCCGAGCTCGCTTTAGCACCGGGGTGCACACAGGTCTTCTGGCACGGGTTGCACTGATTCTGCGTTGTGAACACCTGTCGCAATATGAGCATGTACTAATGTATGGTGCGCACGGAGCTCGACGACGCCACGTTTTTATCACGCCTCGCACCCCGGTTGTGTTACATGTAGGGTAATATGTTCGTCACTAAGGACACTTGCAATATCGCTTGCGTACTTTAAGTATGCGCATGAAATGTGTTATTTGTTATGCACGTCCCATGTTTTCTGAAGATTTGTTGGTGAATGCTCTCAAAGCGGTCCAACTAGCCGACACCTGCCAGTTGTCGCTGTCAATGTCCTTTGTAAGGGCGACTTGTACCGAGTGCGAGGACTCATTTACGCTGCGGAACATTGCTGCGGGCCCGACTCTATTCGTTATCATTCCCAATGTTTGTTTCTCAACTTGTCAGCGCTCGTTGTCGAAAGCGCCCTGTAGCTCCGTCCCACGGGATACACGGTCGATGTGCGGGCTCAGTTGCCGTGCGCTCTGCTGCCGGCGGCCGAGCCGGGCGCGGGCGCCCCCTCGGACGTCGGCGCTGCCGCCGCGTGCAGTGTGCGGCGGGGCCGTGACGCGGTGTGCACAGTGTGCGGCGGGGCCGTGACTTGCACTGACGCGGCGGGCGGGCGCTGCGGGGCGCGCGCCGTATTGTTCGGCGCCGTTTGGCCGGATGTAATATTGCCGTGGCGGCAGCGGCCGCCGACTGTGACCCGGCGTGTGCCCATGCCGAAGTTGTGACCCCGCGCCGCCACCGCCGGGGTCGACGCATGCTGCGGGGGTGCGGCGGGCGGCTGCCGCCACTTTGCACTGCTCTCACGCACAACACTCCGTCCGTTAGGCAGGGCGGGCGGCGCTGGCGCGGTGGGGTGGCGGGGCGCGGGCTCGCCCGGCCCTGCCCCACCGCCTGCCGAGGCTGATCGCGTGATATGTCACCAGGCTATCTTAGCCGTCTCGGAATATAGTGTACGTTCTGCCGAGCTGGCCGTGTTTGTGAGCTGACCCTGGGATGGACGGAGAGGGTGCAATGATGCCGACTGGAGGGGACAGGCAGCGTCACCTCCTTGACATCCACTCATTTCAACTCGACTCGATATTATAACGCACTGCGTCGCCACACGCCGTCTTGATGCGAGCATTGCGTGACCATGCGGCCGATACGCCCGGCCTTGGCATCAGCGTGCGAGATCCATTGCCGCAAATGAATCGGAAATTGCTGCGCGGATTGCGTGGTACAGTTGCGCTTTGACGCCCGACATACAGCCTTGCGTCACGGCGGGATCAGAAGCTCCCAGACAGTTCAGAATCAACAGGCGGGAAACCGTGGCGGCTTCGGAACGATATGTCGGGACGAGGTGGAGCGTTGGCTGGGTGTCGCAACATGGCGCAACAACCACTGGTCACGTATTAATTTTGCACGCGAGATGGCAGGATCCTGTTGAGTGGAGCTGTTGCTGGCGACTGTCCCTGTCCCTGATGTCGATCTGCTTCTAGCGAGCAGCGTGTCGCTGCTTGACGTCTGGTCGCAAGACCTGGTGACCGGCTTCACGTGTGCGCAAACGTTGGTAGGTGCCTACTGATCGAATCGAAAACACTAGGATATGTATCGAGAAGTCATGAGTGGCGATTTCAAGTGCATGTAGGGGCGTATAGAATGCAAATCTCGTTTGATAGTCAACAGTGGTGAGAATCTACTAGTGACAGTACAGCCAGGCAGCGAGGTCACTTTACATACCTTCGGATGGGGATGGTGAGTCCGCCCCTCCCCTCAGTGCCCCTCTGAGCCGCCTCAATACAGAAGGGCAATACAGAAGGGCAATACTGGATCAAAGTAATGCAGAAAACTCTAACGTGTGTTACATTAGGTACCTAGATGCATCACTAGCAGTATCATGTTCATTTCGTACCACAGTATAAGCGTAGGAACGTTTCAAAAAGTGGGCGGCAGGGGGGCCGAAATTTTACCGACGGGTCGGCATTTTTAATAATTGGGGAGGCATCTGCCTTTACAAGTTAGATGTAAAAATACGATCCGGGCATAGGCTGGTCAAAATTTCGATTGCCCATAGCGCTCCAATTTTCGCCGCCTGCCTTTCAAAAGATAAGCTTTTTTCGCAGCATTTTAGGCAGAGACCTATTTGTGAGCTTCACATGCTACTTGCCAAAAACAATGCGACAAAAGTCATGAAACAAGGATTTCTCTGGTAAAAACTAGTTGCCAGGATGAAGGACATTCGTTCGGATCTTTTTCGTCTAAGCGCTGCTCCCGTCCGCCGTCGGCGTCCGCTACCCTGGACTGGCTGCCCGTCGCGTGACTGACTGCGAAGTGAGCGTGCGTCTGCTTTGTTGGATGTTTATGGATCAGCATCTCTAGCTATTGGTGTGTAAAACAGGTGAGACACCTGTTACCGCAGCAGAAAATAACCTTTCGAATGAACTTCCGAAAGAACGAAACGGCCCACATCAGGCATGAATTTGTCCTCCGGCCATTCATTTACCCTCCCTCAGTATCGCTAACTTAATTGCTTTGGTATAAGAGACGAAGGTACGCACTTTTCTTAAACATGTTTCGCACATATATCTGTCGTAGGCCTTTAGCGTGACCTAATATTTTACAAAAAATGTTTGTGTTTCATATATTGCCGACAGCGCATGCAACTTCTGTAAAATTATAATTATTTTGCCATCTCACTGAAACTTTACTCGCTGTTTGAAATGGCTACCAGGCTGCACTCACCATCTGCACTTGCCATTATTACCTACTTTGATGATATATAGATATAGATATAGATATAGAGAGAGAGAAAGAGAGAGAGAGAGAGAGAAGAGAGAAGAGAGGAGAGAGAGGAGAGGAAGAGAGAGAGAGAGAGAGAGAGAGGAGGAGAGAGAGAGAGAGAGAGGAGAGAGAGAGAGAGAGAGAAGAGAGGAGAGAGGAGAGAGAGAGAGAGAGAGAGAGAGAGAGAGAGAGAGAGAGAGAGAGAGAGAGAGAGAGAGAGAGAGAAGAGAAGAGAGAGAGAGAAGAGAGAAGAGAGAGAGAGAGAGAGAGAGAGAGAAGAGAGAGAGAGAGATACACATATATATTATATATATATATATATATATATATATATATAGGCATTTCATGAAGCGCTCTAAGCACAGTGTGACTAGACCTCACTCAGAAAGCCTTGGACTGCCAAGTCATGTTCGAGGTTCCAATAAATAGCAAAACATGTCAGTGGTTTTTCGCCAGATTTGAAATATCTAATTGCACTAACTTCTCAAGCGTCGGCCACGTGGCTCTCAGCAGGGCTGCAAGTTAACGATTTGGTGACCGATCATTGGGGTATATGTTACCACATAGTTGTACTATGCCAGTTCCCGCAGTCGCACCCGAGTGGTTCAGATTCCGCACTCCGGTATGAAGTAGGCATCAGGGGTTAGGTTCTTAAGGTGGCTGAATGTTTGACCTGACAGATTCCAGTTGCGCGAGACGAATGGGTCTCCACGATTATACAGCATGGCCGTGTCAATGCATTTCATGACACGTGAAGGGTCCTCCAGCTGTTCGCAGTCAAAGTTTTCCGACGAAATGCGCGAATGGTAGTCTCAAACAGTTATCTTTGCGAGTCGTTCAGACCAAACTCAAAAAGAGAAAGCTTTTGCAATAAAAACTTACTTGTACTTCGTGGCTCAACATAAGCAGCACTCAACAATGGAAGGGGACAATTTTCTTCAAGGCTTTGCTCGTGTGGTGCCGAAAAACTTGCCGTTTGCTTCAGTCAGCATGTTGATACAGGGCGCCGGGATGGTGACATCTAAACAGACGCATTACGCGCGTCGGATGACACTTATGGCACATGGTACTGCGCTGTTTTGTCCCATTTCCCGACGAGCGCACCTGGTGAGGGGCCCTTGTCCCTGAAAACCAGACCCGTTCAGGAAGTGCCTCCGTAAGTTTATGTCTATCTGATCGTCGTTGTAAGCAGCAGCGGTTGCCTGCACACTCGAACATGCCTGCATCCTTCTGAAGACTTATTCTAAGCAATATCTTGCGTGTGCACGGTCGAGTACCAGCACAGCTGACGCGTGACAAGCTAGTCTAGTTAATCGCATCTTTCGTTGCGCATGCACAGCGAGCAGTGCTGATTCGATTGCTGACTCGGTCTGTACTGAATGTATTTTCTATTTAATCAGGCCTTTCCTGAACGCCCAATGTTCTTCTAACGTTTCATGAAATGCCTTAAAATGCTCCATTGATTGGGCAAATGGCGTAATGCTGTTTTCTGCGGATTGCGGCCCCGAGCTCGTGACCTTTTCAAAAATGCCTGAGTGTTTCAACGAAACAGCGCAATAGCGATAATTTTGTGAAATTTACATGAAACACCGGCATTATATAACATGCTTGTTTTGCCTGACAACCTGGCCTATGCTAACCGCCTATGACCTATCTACCTTGAACTTCATGAACCTATGCTGAGGGGACTGTAAGTAGGCATGCAGTGAGCGAAGGCTATATAAAAATACAGAACAGAGCGTAGGACCCTAAATTAATCTTAGTTTGGCCCTAAATATCTCCGTTCTTCGTGCATGGTAGATAAAATTCTGCCATTTATCACTTGAAGTAGTTTTGCCCAGTAGGCTTTCAGGAAAATGGCAGGTGAACTAGGCAAATCGGTAAGCATGTCTAAAATAGTGCGAACCTGAACTGAACGCAAAGTATGCCTTAAAAATTTGTAGTAGGGGTGGTGTAGATAAGATTGCTGTCCTCAAGCTCCAAATAATGTGTGTGTGTGGGGGGGGGGGGGGGGGTTCATGGTCCCCTTGCCCATTAGCCTAGTCTGCAAATATTGAAAAGCATATGACGCATATGATAACACCCTGGATTGTAATAAAGGCAATATGTGGTGGAGTTTATAAAACGCAGTGCGGTCCAAGTACGAGTAAGCTCATGCTTTCCTCAGCAGTGAAAAATGTATTTAAGGAACAATCGAGGCTATGGTACTCAACCGCCAGTTCGATGACAAAACGCAATCAGCAATGGCGATACTTATTAGAGATTCCCCATCCGTCAAATCATGGCAACAAAAGGTGCTCCAGGATGGGCCCTTTGTGCTACAAGGACTGCAGCAGCTGGACCTGCTGCAAGTGGCTGATTGTCTGGTCGATTGCTCACGGCGATGCGCCCAATTTGAAGAACGAAGGTGGTTGCGGTTTTGAAGGTTCACTGGCTTGTCCACGTGGACATGGTTCTTGAGGCTACCCCACAGAAAAGCCACGGCACGAGAGTCTTAGCTGGTGTGATACCATGTAAATGATTCTCGAACCAATCCAGTAACAAACCAATCCAACCAAGAACGAATCCAAGTCCGTGGTGGTGTGGCCCGTCCTCCTAAAGTCACTTACGTCTCATTCCGTGCGATCCCGAGTCATAATTTAACGAATTGGAGACTACTGATGACTTACACTGCTTTTTATCACGTTTTGTGATTGATGGCCATTCAAGTGCCAGCGCTGTCTTCATTTTCCGAGAAACACACTTGGCAGTGCGGAGTAAAACTGGAGATAATACTGATCTAGGCCACCTTGCATTAACGACAGCTTCACATAGAAACAGTCAGTTATATCACCTTTCTGCAACTTCTATATAACACAGTAGTAAAAGCCTCATTCTCCGTAGATCGTAAGAAAACCAGGAGAATGGAGAGATAATGTATCCGTCTGCTGGCTTTTCTACGGGGAATAAGGCTGTTACTACTTTCTTATCTATATGCACAATGCTCCTTTCAAATGCACTCAGCAACTTACCCTTTTCTACGACTTCTTTACAAACCTGACGTATTGTTAAACCGAAAGCTCGCAACACAATCCGAAATCTCACTCAGTGCTCTGCGTATCCGTTTTCACGAAAAGTAAGGGATGCTTTAATGTGTCTGCGTTTATACGCCAGGAGATCA